TTTAAACACATTTCATACTGTTCACAAGTTTTCTCGTGTTTCTTGTACCATCTGTTATGGACCTTAGATGTCAACACACTGTCTTGCCTTCATTGAATGAAGCAATCTCATTAGTGGAAACTGTGCAGGTTAATCTATTAAAAACTATGTAATTGCACGAACCCATAAAGCATTGCAGTTACATTATATTTTGGTCATTCAGATAGTTGTCTTCAAGTTCCTGGTTCTTTTAGAAATGCCCTCACTCAGAAAAAGGAGGGAAACCAATGAAACTGATGCACTGGCAATATTTAATGATGATTTATCAGATATTCCTAGTGAGATTGGCTGTGGAGAGGAATTTTTTTTTCCCTTAAGATGATTCTACAGATTCTATTGACAGTGAAATTATTAGACCTATAAGGAAGTGCAAGGTGGTGGTGCTTTCAAGTGATTCTGACACTCACAAAGCTACTGATAATTGTTTATCTGAAATTGACAAACCACCATGTTTACAAATGTATAAAGGTCATTCTGGGGTCACTCTATTTCTGTCTCTATGACTCTGTGACCAATCTCTTTTTCAGTGATGAATTGTTTGAGATGTTGTACAAAGAGCTGTCCAATTACCAAGATCAAACCTCTGTGAAATGAAAAGCACCATCTATAACACTGAAGTGGTTACACAGAAGGGCGTCAAGAAATTCTTTGACTTAATTATTCTGATGGGTCAAATAAGAAATAGCTTGAAACCTGTTGGTCAACAGATCCTTTGATATTTACACCTATATTTCCAGATAGTCACCATAGATTTGAGTAAATATAGACATTTTGGCATTTCAGTGATAATGCCAAAAGTGGACAGTCATTCTTCATGATCCAACCTATGCTGGGTTATTTCCTGCATAAATGTTGAACAATGTACAGTCCGAAGCAACAGTTGTCTTTGGATAAGGGAATGATTCCATGGAGAGGTCATTTAAAATTTCGCATGTACCACCCAGAGAAAATACAAAATATGGTTTACTTGTTTAGATCGTGTTCAAGAATGACACAGCCTATGTCTGCAATATGGAGATATATCTTGCTGAAGGATAAAAAATTGCAAGAGACTATTCCTTAAGTCATTGGACCCTGTCTTGACATATGGTACTATATTTACCAGGATTATTCTTACAGTTCTACATCTACTGCTGAATTGCTGCTACAGAACAAATCCAGAGGCTGGGGGACTATTAGGGAGAGTAGAGGTTTACCATCAAATTTTAAAATGTAACATCAAGAATGAAGAAAGGGGGCTGGAGAGATGGCTCAGAAGCTAAGAGCACTGGCTGCTCTTCCAAAGGTCCTGAGTTCAATTCCCAGCAACCACATGGTGGTTCACAAGCATCCATAATGAGATCTGGTGCATCTTTCTGGCATGCAGGTAGAATACTGTATAGATAATAAATAAATCCTTTAAAAAAAAGAAGAAAGGTGATATAATATCTTCCAGAAAAGGCAATATTTTTATTCTAGCATGATAGACAAGTCTGAATGATATCAACAATCCATGATACTTCTGTCTCAATGACACCGGGGGTAGGGGGGTTGGGGGGTGGAGGGTGGGAATAGAAAAATGGGAGAGAATAAGCTACCAGCATCAAGGAATACAATGCCTATATGAAAGGCATTGACCATGCAGATCACTTCTTTTCATATTGTTCTAAAGGAAAAAATGAAATGGACTCTTTGATTCATTTAGAATCTACAGCACCCTCAGTCCCCAAGCAAAAATGAAGTGTAAATAGTTTCTGCTATAAATGGCAAGAATGGAGGACAATAATGAAGACTCTCCAGAAGCAGAGATAGATCTGTCCAGCCCTTCTGGGGGTACAAGGAGAGCACCTTGTAAAGAGCACCCAAAAGGTCAGGTAATATAAAGCAATATGAGCCTGCACATGTTCCAGCAAGTAGAAAGAAAAACTTTCCTGTGAGAGCCTGCAGAGTTTGTATAGCCTATGGAAAAAAGTTGAATATTTTCTTTGGTCTTCTTCATAGAGGAAAATTTTATGCAATACCATATATTTAAAAAGTACTAGGTACTTTGTTTAATTATTCTTTTGTAAATAAAAATGTTATAATTATTGAGAATAACACCTAAAGTACATAGGATTCTGTAATTATGATGATTTAAATAATATGCAGTTTACCTAAAAATGTATGGTTCCTGTGAACATCTTAGAAATTTCTGTATGGTTCAAAATGTGTTAAATGGGCTGCATAGGTACAATAACTCAAATAAGAGTAGAAACATATATACAGTATAATAAAAATAACCTTAATTTTGTATCAGTATACAAAAATCCATACCAATGTAAAATATTTGAGACTAATCATTTCTATACTATATCTTCCCTTTTTCCCTTCAGAAAAAGATCCTTGAATCTAATCTCCTTTGTTTAGCTTTTTTCCTGATTATTACTAATAGCAGCTTCCCAAATGATGGGAAACAGCCATTACCCACCTAATGACCCATAACCACCCACCACAACTCTTGGGGGTGGGCACCGTGTTCTGTTCTCTAGACTGCTTTCTGTTATTTGGGAGTCCTGAGAAACATAGGATAATGATCAAGTCCTGGGAGAGCTAAGCTGTATTTTTGTTCAGTCTCTTTGTGATTGAAAAGTGTAGAGCTTATCTGAAGTCTTGGCTGGATCATCTCACCTAACAGTTTTTAAGTTGCTGTGGATGTAGAAGTTTGAGGAAGCTGCAACAGGTATTCCAAGAGGCTGGATCACCTGGGCTACTTATCTTTATTGGTGTCTGGTTCTTTTTTTTTTTTTTCTGAAACACACACACACACACACTTTTAAAGTAACATACATGTTTGTATTAACGTAAGTATGGAATGTGCAGTGTTCATAAGTCAGTTAAATTTTTTTTTTTTTTTTTTTTTTGCTTTATGTTTGGGCAGGTAAAATCTGTCAACTTTGTAAGTCCATTTGGAGTGTATAACCAAACCACTATCCATAATAATAAGTCATGAGGACTCTGTAGCCAATATTATTTATCATGTCTCATTCAGTATCAGAGATTGGCTTATATATCACCTGTCTTGTAGTCTTTCTTGGCTTTTCCCCTCATGTCTGCAGCCAAGATCCTCTGAGGCCTCACCCCTGGTCAAATCTGATCTTCATTAATTTTGAAGAGAACCAGTACTTTTGTTTACTGTGGAAATAGAAGCATAACCTCTCCCCAGCACAACACATTTTTTGATTTCTAATTTGAAGTTAAGACATTCTTAAGATGTATAGTTTGATTTAATTTAGCAGTTTCCATAATCCAGTGTCTCTCAGAACCTATTGTTTTTTGTGCATTAGAATTAAAAAAATTCGAAGTCAACAAAGTATCATACAGGATCCAGACACCCTGTGTATTTCCCATCTTTATGTTGCTTTTTTTTTTTAATGTTACTGTACTCTCTCTTTGAAAACTTAGACTTCATTATTTTTAAATTTTTTTTCTATGATTGTCTGTACCCATATGCTTTTCTTTTTTTCAGCATCTTAACACATTTTTAAACATACTGTACCTTTTTAGAGGTTGTATGTGTGTGTTTGTGTCTGTGTCTGTGTGTTTGTGTGCGTGCGTGTGCATACTAAGCGCCTGCAGCATTCTCTGACAGTGAGAGACAAATCTTAAACTGCCATGGCAGTTGCTGTGCAGCTTAGTTTGGCACATGGCTTATGTTCCAAAGGAGCAGTCCAGTCCATAATCATCATGGCAGGAAGCATGGCAGCATGCAGGCAGACATGGTGCTGACAATATCTTGATTGGAAGGCAACAACTGGAACTGTTCTCAAACACTAGGCCTGATCTTAAAGCCCACCCCTACTGTGTGTGACACACTTCTTCCAATAAGGCCTTACAACTTCAACAAAGCCACACCTAATAGTGCCTCTCCCTGTGTGCTTATGGGAGCCAATTATGTGCAAACTATCAAGGTTGCCTAACTGGGTACCAACTGTTCCCACTATTTTCTGTTATGTTTGATAATTGTTACCACATTATTTAGTCCAAGTTAGTCTACTTGAACTAAACTCAGACCTGTTACAAGTTCTTACCTCTCACTGCCTCCAAATTAAAGGTTAAAACTTGGGCAGGCTAAGGGGTGTGGCTCAATGGAATGCTTTCCTATCACAAGTAAGGATTGACACCAGTGCCTGGAGAGGAAAAAAAAGAGGAAAGGGAAGGGAATGACCAAAATTTTAGGCTTTGCAGTTAGTGGGGAAACAATCTGACCTCCTCACCGTTTTCTTATTACTCCTCCATTCCCATTTTCATAGTTCACATGGCAGAGGGTTAGGTCCTACTTACAGGACACAATCTCTGACCACAATTGTGCATGTTCCAGAAATGCACATCTACTGTAGGATAGCTTGGAATTTCCCTAGAAATGAGTGTGGGTTTTTAAAAAGTTATTCTTTATTCATACCAGAATCTTTGGGGGAAGTGCAGTCAAAAATCTTTGAATAGGGCCGAAAAGAAAAAAAAAGGAAGATTTTTTTTGGGGGGGGGGTTTCGGATTCCCTGTTTGGTCTCTCAGGTCCTGCTGTGCGTTTTCAGGTCCAGAGTCACTTTGAGAACTTTTCATATGTACTTCCAGGGCTTCATATAAGCAGTTAGAAAGAGTTTCTGCCCTTTGCATTTCAGTCAACATTTTCTGTACTCTCTACAAAGGGTCAGTTGATGTGAGAGTTTGATATACAGACATGTTTAAATTGGTGTTTGCTATTGTCTAACCCAAAGCTCTGAAGTGTGGTGTTTAACTAGATGATTTATTTGCTGAGAACGTAAATATACAAAATTTATAAGATACAAAAAACAAAAAAAATCCTTCCCTGTTTCCATTGTCAGTTCAGTCATTAATTGTGATGAATTATGAAACAATTTTAATCTGATAATAACTTTTAGGCTTTCTTTGACTTTAAGTCTAGATACATTCAAAACACTTAATAGAAGCATTTCTTTTTTGGCAGTGTATCCTGAGGGTACAGACGGGTGTTTGAGGAATACATGCGGGTTATTAGCCAGCGGTATCCAGACATCCGAATTGAAGGAGAGAATTACCTCCCTCAACCAATTTATAGGTAAGTGGATCTCAGTGACTTGAATATAGTCTTTTAACCTACAAGCTTTGTGAATGGGCTCATTTACCTTTGCTGGGTTTGTGTAATTTCTTATTTGCTTATAATATACAGAGAATGCTACTTTGTAAAGAACAATGGAATGATGACTTTTAAAGAGGTGTTCATTTGTGTAATTTATGTTAGGAAATTAGTCTAAGATTGAGCCCAGGCTGTTGTACCTTCTGAGCATACATTTTACCACGGAACCACTCCCCTCCCCCAGATTTCCTAGAAAATCAATGATACTAAATTTAATGTGATTAGTAACTTGTATTTTATATCTAGAAAATGTCTTCACATAAAGTTTAATTATTAAATTTCAGAATAGACAAATTGTAGTTACTGATTAACTTGTTTCTTTTCTTTTGATAGACATATAGCATCTTTCCTGTCAATCTTCAAACTAGTATTAATAGGTTTAATAATTGTTGGCAAGGATCCTTTTGCTTTTTTCGGCATGCAAGCTCCTAGCATCTGGCAGTGGGGCCAAGAAAATAAGGTATGTGGCTTTGGTGACTGAGCTTTTAGGTTGTGTGTGAGATACATTTTAGGGTTTGTTTTTGTCCTGTTCCCCACCCCCCTCTTGGAAACAGGGAGAACTTTATTAGAATTCAAAGAAGCTATAAAACCTCAGCAGCTGCCTGGAGGAGGGAAGGAAAAAGCCATGGCATTTAAGCTGGTATAAACGTTCAGACCCATGGTTGGAGGGCAGCCTTGTGATAGAGATGGACGCTTCAGAGAACATAAGGATGCTTATGATAGAGATGCTTAGGATAGAGAAAGGAGAAATTATGTCTTTCTCAATGTTGGACTTTTCTTAGTTATGCAGTCAGGTGGGCAGGCTTATTATTGCGTGGCTGTAGCCTCTGAACTTTAACCAGTTATTCTTATTTTTGTCTTTTTACTTAAAATCTTTTTTTTCCCCCCTGAGGCATTTACCATCATTGGAAATGGATCTAATTTTACTTCTCTCTTGCATGGGAGTGTTGTAGATCTTCTTTTATGAAGCGGAGTTCTCTGGGGAGTGCTCTAGCTTTGCCCTTTAGTTCTAGTGCCTTTAGACTCCTATTTGGGGGTTCTTCTAGAACAGGCATTTGTTAACATAAGCATCCTTAGGTGTCTCTAGGAGGAATACATCTCTGCCCCATTGTTAAGCAGACATGGGTTTGCAGTTCAGTGCTTGAGTATTCTGTGCTGTGACACTTATGTATAACACATAGGTATAGTTGCCAAAGAGGTAGAGATACAGATTTTGTGACAATGCCTTCTGTGTTCCTATAAAAAGCTGTGACATCAAACACCACCTGGCCCAAATACAATAGGCAGGCAAGCTCTTTCTTTCTTTTATGGACATTTGTTTTTTGAAACAATGTGTTATGAATTTATATCTTCACCATTTCCAACTTTTTGTTTGGTACGTTTACTAAATTAAAGCAGTGTACTTTTTTTTGAAGAAGATAGATTTACCTTTGAAGGGTACATGCATGTGTTTCTCTGTGCTAGGGCAGTTTAAACCTACAGATGGTTTTAACACGATTTTTCTTTTAAACTTAAGTAGATTGTATGTAATATACATAAAGTTGCTGGTGGTTGCATCACTGTTCTCTTGTGATGACATTTTACATTATAAAATTGGTAAAGTGAACCATTCTAACGTTGGTGTTCTTTTTTATTTAACATCAATTGTTGAAGTGTTTTAGAAATTCTGTATATTATATGAATGCTGTATGTAGGTTCTTTAAAATGTAAAGAGCTGTGCATTTTTCCTGGTGATGGTTTGTGAGATGACATTTTGTATGGATACTTTTATATTAAAAGAAAGTACTGTCAAATTAAGGTTGAAACTGTGTTTAAAAAAAAAAAAAACATGTCTTACGTTTTATGCCATTTGACTTCTAGGTTTATGCATGTATGATGGTTTTCTTCTTGAGCAACATGATTGAGAACCAGTGTATGTCAACAGGTGCATTTGAGATAACATTAAATGGTACGTTCTAAGTAGTGTGGGTTTGTGATGAATTACATACTTAATAGCAAACAGGCTTTTTATTTTTCATGAGAAACTTCTTTAATGTTCATATAAAAGAGCTTATATTATAGAGTGAAAGTTCGGGAGAAGAATTTTAATTGCTATTTGAGGTTCTAGAACTTGTAGATGATTTGGCTCCTATGTGTTTCCTGTCTGACTAATACTCTACTCCATAGCTTTAAAATAAAATCTTTATGATTATTCCTGAGTGCATAACCATAGGATACTGGAGACCTGTTTTGAGTGCTTTACTTGGGAATCTTTAACATACCCTGCTTCAAAATAAGCTCTTAGCTACTCCCTCTGGTTCCTATGTGCTGCTTTGATTCTCCTCTGGGATTTTTTTGTTCATTTAATTGCTTCATCATTTGCCCTCCTACTTTGCCCAGAAACCTAGGGTAGACTTCCATTATTGATTCCACTCCATAGTTAAGGAATTACAAAGACCTCTCAACTGTCTTCTACATTGCTTACAAATCTACTTTTGCTAATCTTCCCTGCTGGCACCCTAGCCTGTGTTATGTGACTCCCCTGTTTTCTGAACAGTAGATTGTCGAATATACTTTCAACTGTGATTTTTCCTTTTTTTTTTTTTTTTTTTTTTTTTTTTTGTTTCAAGATGGGCAAAAGGGCGTTTCTCAGTATTGCTTTGGAGGTTATCCTGTAACTCACTCTGTCGACTAGGCTGGCCTCAAATTCAACAGAGGTCTGCCTGCCTCTGCCTCCAGAGTGCTGGGATTAAATGTGTGTGCCACCAATGCTTGGCCCATTTTGTTTTTTAAGACAGGGTTTCTCTGTGTAACATCTTTGGCTGTAATGAACTCACTCTGTAGACTAGGCTGACCTTGAACTGGCAGAGATCTGCCTGCCTTTGCCTCTTGAGTGCTGGGATTAAAGGCATGTACCACCACTGCCCAGCTTGGGTTCTTTTGTTTGCTTGGTTTGCTTGCTTGCTGTTTTTTGCAGTGACTTTCTTAATGAAGATTTCCTTGTGTCCCTTGAGTGTCTAAACTCAAGTTCTTTTTCAAAATAAATATCAGTGTGTTCAGTGTGAGCAAAGGCCCTGCAAAATCTAGTTTTGGGGTCAGTCAACCATGGTCCTGTGTTCATGTCCTGTTGCCTGTCTGATGGTTTCATTTGAACATAGCTATGTCCAATTTTATTTATTTTTAAATTTATTTTTCATTTAAAAATATTTTTTCATTTTACCTACCAACCCAGTTCCCCCTTCCTCTCTTTCTCCTGCCCGCCCCACCTTTCCCCATCCCACCCCCATCCACTCAGGGGGTAAGGCTTCCCTTGGAGAGTCAACAAAGCCTGGCATACCAAATTGAGGCAGGACCAAGCCCTTCCCCCCTGTATCAAGGCTGAGCAAGGTATCTGACCCTAGGGAATGGGCTCCAAAAAGCCAGTTCATACACCCGGGATAAATCCTGTTTATATTGCCAGCCCCCTCCCAACCCCCCTAGAACAAGCCACAAAACTGTCACTCACATTCAGAGTGTCCAGTTGTTTCCATGCAGATTCTTCAGCTTGCAGTTCATAGTCCTGAGTTCTCACTAGCTCGGGTCAGCTGTCTCTGTGGCCTTCTCCATCATGACCTTGACTGATGCCACCCTCCCCCACTACCCTCCCCCCTTCATGTGATTTTTTTTTTTCCCCTCCCTCTCTTCACCTAAGCTCCAGGAGCTTAGCCCAGTGCTTGTCGGTGTGTATGCTTCCCTCAGTTACTGGATGTAGGTTCTGTGATGATGTTGAAGGCCAGTTTAGGCACCCTCTCCATTATTGCTAGGAGTCTTAGCTCAGGTCATCCTTGTGGATTCATGGGAATTTCTCTAGCACCAGGTTTCTCCCTAACCCCATAATGGCTCCCTCTATTAAGATATCTCTTTCATTGCTCTCCCTCTCTGTCCTTCCCCCAACTCAGTTATCTCTTTCCCCATGTTCTCATCTCCCATCCCCTTCCTTCTACCTACTCCTCCCAGTTTAACCAGGAGATCTTAACTATTTCTCCTTCCTGGGACCTTCCATGTTGTGTCCCTCTTAGGATCCTCCTTGTTATCTAGCTTCTCTGAGGTTGTGGATTATAGCCTGTTTATCCTTTGCTTTACATCTAATATCCACTTACTCATAAGTACATACCGTGTTTTTCTTTCTGGATCTACTTTACCTCACTCAGGATGTTTTTTTCTAGTTCTATCCATTTGCCTGCAAATTTCAAGATTTTTTTTTCCCCATTAAGAAGTACGCCATTGTGTAAATGTACCACATTTTCCTTATCCATTCTTCGTTGTTTCCAGGTTCTGGCTATTACAAATAATGTTGCTGTGAACATAGTTGAACAAATGTCCTTGTGGTATGAATGTATATCCTTTGGGTATATGCCTAAGAGTGGCATTGCTGGGTCCTGAGGTAGATTGATTCCCAGTTTTCTGAGAAACCATCATTCTGATTTCCAAAGTTATACCTAGTTTTAAAATGTATTCCCATTGCTGCCTTCAGGTTGTGTGAATTGAATGACTGTGACAGATACTCTTCGATAAGCAAAAAAAAATGTTTAATTTCTGGTTTGTTACCCCAATCTAAATTTCTGTGCCTCTTAAGTCTCTCTTACAAGACTTCCTGATGTGGCCTGTGCAGGCCCACACTCCTTTCTGGCCTTTACATTTCTTTTTACCTCAAAATTTTTTGCTTCCATGAGCGTTCACTCTGGTTTAATGGCTTTTCTTTATCTTTTTAGATGTAGTTTAACTGATGTGCTTTCCTGGCCAGTCAACAAGAGAGGCTGGTGTTTGCACTTTAATCTTAGTAAATAAATACGATTTTGTGGTTCCCTAAGAGGAAGAAGTAGTGAACTCCTGTGTCCCTAATTGTGCATGAAACTCAGTAATTACTTGTGGGGTTAATGTCTGTTGTAGAATCATCTTTAATGTGTTTTTTGGGGTTGGGTGCTGGCTGTTTTTGTAGATGTGCCGGTATGGTCTAAACTGGAATCTGGTCATCTTCCGTCCATGCAACAACTTGTTCAAATTCTTGACAATGAAATGAAACTCAATGTGCATATGGATTCAATCCCACATCATCGATCATAGCCCTACCTATCGGCATTGAAAACTATTTTGTAAGTAGTTAAAAAGATACAGTAGCTATTCATAGGTTTCCATTCATTCTTATCACATATATTAGATGCCACATATATTATCACTTCAATTTCCCACTTAGGATGGAACAGATGGATGTCTTTTAAACTTTGAACTCCTAATAGCCAGAATTGATGTGTTTTATTGTAGTTTGTAGCTGCATTGCTTCTCCTTACTTTCAAATAATTCCTAAACATGTGCATTATTTTTAACATACTTAAGAGAGAAAATTTATGAGCATTTGTATAAGTGTGAAGAGACTTGGTTAGCTCTTGCTTCATAGTAGTAGTATCAATCTCTGTTCCTTTTTGATCAGTGGATTAGCTTCCCAAGAGTTGGTATAAGAGTGACTACTAAAATACACTATTCTTTTTCTGTTTGTTTCAGACACTAAGGGATTTTGCAAGAGCAGCGTGACTGACATTATGAAGGCCTGTACTGAAGACAGCAAGCTGTTAGTACAGACCAGATGTTTCTTGGCAGGCTCGTTGTACCTCTTGGAAAACCTCAGTGCAAGATAGTTTTTCCATTGCTGGCACATGCTGAATTCTGCACATATATGGAGTGCAATGATACTGTGTAGCTTCCCCGAGCCCACCTTTAATAGTTTCTTCTTTTTGATGTGGCATTACTACTTGTAACTCTTTTCTTGGTCATGTTTGAGAAAGTACAGAATTGAATTACAACTTGAGTTTTTTTTCAAGATGTGTGTTAAGCTTGTTGTGTTTTTATATGAATTTTCATTTTTAAAGTTTAATGTTAGTTTTCTTGGGGAAACACCTGAAGTTCCTAAATAATTTATAAAAGTTTATCAGATAGCTCTAATTTGGTTATGCTTTATATATAGTTTTCAGAACACTGCAGATTGTGCACAGTGAATTATACACGATTATGGGGGGGAATCCAATACCCAGAGTACTCTACTGTGTATGTGTGTGTGTGTGTGAAAGGGAGAGAGAGAGAGAGAGAAAGAGAGAAATTACCAGGAACAAAACCAACTGCTTTTTTTTTAAATCTACATTTTTAATATACCAAGTAATAAAACATTAGTATTTTATTTATGACAAGATACTTAAACAATATTTGCAATGTTATAGACACATATGTCTACATTTTTACATCAGATGTTTGAAGGTAAAATCATATGAATGAGTAAAACTATATTGACAGATTACAAAAGAGCAAATACATCTTGGCCATAATTTTAAAGTCTCCTTGTTTTTGAAAATAATAAGAATAATTTATTTCACTATTGTTTCTAAAATGTCCTAATCAAGCTGAGGTAAAATAAAACTAAACTGACATCATGCTTAGAGAGTTTTTCAAGAATAATAAAGATTTGAGAAATGGGAAACGTAACCTGTTGTAATTTTATATTTACTTTTTTTTTTTTTTTTTTTTTTTTTTTTTTTGGAGACAAGGTTTTTCTGTGGCTTTGGAAGGTGTCCTGGAACTAGCTCTTGTAGACCAGACTGGACTCAAACTCATAGAGAGCCTGCCTCTGCCTCCCAAGTGCTGGGCTTAAAGGTGTGCGCCACCAACGCCTGGCTATATTTACATTTAAAATGCAAATGAGTTTTTGTTTTGCTTGATGAAAATATTTTAGTAAACAGTTTTAGATGGCCTTCTTTCAGAGACTTGAAATACATTTCTGCAGGGACAAATACCAGGCAAAGGACATAGACACTTCTTAGTGTATATTTTCTAAGCATCTTTGAATTTATTTTGTTGATGTTTCTTTTAGAACCTATTACCATTCTGTTTCCTTGAAAGAGCTTATCATTTGAATTATCCTGATGAATGCATTTGGCAAATTCATAATTTTCTTCAGATTGTAATGAAGTATTTGATGTAGAACTTATTAGTTTCCTTTTCCTCTTCGCAGCAATAGTCATTTCCATGTAGAATGGCACGCTTGAAACCAGTTGCTTTTAAAATTCTATTGTAGTTCAAATGTCTTGACCAATCTAATGAATTGATTAATGGGCCTTTATACTACTACTACTACTAATAATAATAATAATAAAAAAAACTGAGCAGATGTAAGTTAAATGAAAGTTTATTGCTCAGTGTACCTGTTATCATTATTTTTAATAACCATTTGCCTCATGTTTTGTTTTGACTTACAGATACTCTCATAAAGGACATACTTTAGATTCACACACAAGTGATGACCTAACTTACTGTTTAGAACAGTAACTGTTTTCAAAACAGTTGAAACTCACCTCACTAAAGAAAAACTCAGTGAAACCTCTTTACAAAGTATGTATTATGTAAACGGAGTTCATTCGTCTAGAAATTGAATTATCTTAACATCCTATATCAGAATTTTATTGTATTTGAAAGACAAAATTAAGAATATTTTTAATGTTTTCATATTGTTCTAGAATTCTAAAAAGAAACAGAGTCGATAAAGATAATAAGGGTGATTTAGCAGTACTAGAAATGCTGAATAACAGCTACATAGTAGCCATAATAACAAACAGGGATTAAGTGGAAGAGCCAACTGTAACCCTGGATTTGTGAATGAAAGTTAAAGAGCTTAAGAAAAGGATATTGATGCCACCTAACTCTTAGATGTTAAGAGCAGCTTGACTACTGGACATAACTTGAGTGCATTCGGGCCATGCATCTTAGTGTGACAGCTTAAAAGTGGAATCTACTGTGATCTTCATATAAAGGAAGATAGTTTAGTGCTGAACTGAAAAAAAGTGATGCAATGTTACCTTTTGCTTAGGATTGCAGCGCTGCTAGCCCAGTTTCTGGTGATAGATGTTGTCATTTAAACTCAAGTTCCTTAGAGGTTATTATTATTTATGTGTAAATATATATGTATATATATATTTGACTAGGTCTTAAAACCTTGTTAATATGATTGCACTCCAGACTCCATATCTTGTAAAGTTTAGCATCAGAGGGGCCTTTCTTCAAGTAATGGACATTCCATTTGTGACAGTTAGCTTTATGGCACATAGACATTCAGAATTTAGGCCATGGATGTTCATGTGTACTTGACAGGTCAAATTATGAAGAACCTAAAGTCAAATCCAACTTTCTCCAGGTTTGCCTTAGATTGATTTTGTCTCCTAGTTAATAGCTTTAACTGTCTTAGACATCTAGTAAAATTCAGCTGTTTTATCCACACTCATTCATTTTATTTTATGCTTAGTCATATTTAAATCCAGAATTTAAGATTCTACTAAACAATAAATGAGATGCATGGATATAAAAATTAAAAGGTAAAGGAGAAAATAAACTATAACTTTGTTACTAACAATTCAAAATTTATTAGTTGCTTATAAATTGGTGTAGCTATATAGTTACAAAATGTCTGTGCTCTATAAATCAGAGGACTGTGGACTTGTCAACAGGCTAGCTAATTTTATTGAGTTTTCAACACAGTTGCCATTGCGGAAGGTTTTTGCATTTATTGAAAATTTGGTAAACATGGCCTTAGGCCTCTGTGTAAGGTATGCGGGAGCACCTGCTTTCTGAATGCAAGTAGCATTGGATATGCACTGGTATTCGTAACAGTTGCTCAGTCTGAACAGCTGTGAACTGTGATGAGATCCAGTGATGGATCATTCTTTCTCTAAAGGGTTATTTGTTTGGAATTTTGATTGACTGGCACATTCTATCATTGTCATAACAAAATTATTCGTTAAAAGTTTTTTTAAACATGATTTGATATTCTAGGGTGTTTCTTTAAAAAAAAAATGAGAAGCAAGTAAAGAATTGTAAACATTTGGGACTTCTTTGTGGCATTGTGAAAATAAATAAGCCAACATGAAAGGAACCCTGCTTTGTGTGCTTAATTCTGTACTAATATTTTTAATGTTGAAAGTTGCCGTCTATTTCTGATGGCTTTTTTGTTTTGTTTTTCAAAGCAGTGTTTCTCTGTGTAAATCTGATTGTCCTGGAACTCACCCTGTAGATGGCCTCAAACAAAGAGATCTGTCTGTCTCTCCCTCCCAAGTGCTGAGATTAAAGGTGTTTGCCACCACCAACTGGCCTCTAATGGCTTGTTAAGCTAGTCAGTTTTTGTTCCCCATCTCTGACTGGCACTGTTTTACCACTGTTAGACTTTAAAACTGCTTTCTTTACAGGTGTGAACCATCAGCAGCTCTGTTCTTTATTCTGGGCTGGAGCCCAATTTTCCTGAGAAACTTATGCAACATCCCCAGATTTAAAGAGGAGAAAACACCCCCTTTTCTGTCTCAACCAGCAAGTCAATTTAGAAGAAAGTAAAGATCACTTTGTTTTTAATTAAGCCAATACTTAACTTTCCCAAAAATGGAAGAGCCCTGGCTCTCCCACTTCTTTTAAAAAGCAGAAATAAGTATTTATTTACAGACTAACCAGACCCAGTTTTATCTTGGAGAAGAATAAAGTAACTAGTTCCAGATTTAGGAAAGACCAGAAGTTTGCATTCCCCCTTAAAGCTAGCAGGAAGGGTTTCTGCTCTGCTCTGTTAAGCTTGAGCCCAGTGGAACGCAGTAGGGTGACTGCAGTGTGCTCCCCACAACGCCAGTTCAGTTTCTGCCTGAGCATGACCAGGGCAGATGCCTGGCTGCTTATTGTTGGAGATGCTGATTTCCTTACTCGGAAATGAGCCCAGGAATTTGCATTTCTTAATAAGCTTCAAGATAATATTCATGATCAGTCTGAGCTACACACTGAGCAACATTGCACTTCAGGCCCATGATGAAGCCCAGAAGAAAAACAGGGAAAAATTGCCTGCTTTTTCAGAAGCACTTAATAAGCACTTAATTTGGTGAAATAGCAACTTAAACAATGATAAAAAGGTTGTTTCTTCAGAAAAAAAAAGTTATCCCAAATAATATTTTGACTGCTACATACTCTTTCCTATGGGTTCATATGTAAGAGCTTTCTGAATAAAAGAATACAAATCTTTATGGATGGGTCCATTTTAAAAGTGTATAAACTGACAACATGACTGTTTAATGGTATAGCTAAAGGGAAGATTATTAGAGAACACCCAGAAGTATCTGGAAGATTCCAGAGCAGAGAGAGAGAAGTACACTGTAAGCAGAGATATCTGTCAGAGGGAGAATAGCAGGGTATGGAGAATAGAAAGAACATGGCCAGAGAAACAGGAGTAGAGAGATCACAGTGAGAAGAGAGTTATCAGGAGAAGGAATCATTAGGGGAGGGAAGCCTTGGAGCTGGAGGGAGTTTAGGAAGGAGGAGGAGGAGACTTCTCAGTGGAGACTCTAGAAACCAAAAGGTTCTGGACAGATGTTTTGCAGACTCTTAAATAGACCCCAAATGCCAGCCCAGACTAGTATGTCCAGGAAAACATTTAATCACTATAGATGGAGAAAAAGCACTCCATAAGACTAAATTTAAGCAATGTCTATCTACAAATCCAGCCCTATAGAACATGCTAGAAAGTAAACTCCATCCACAAAACTAATAAGGTTAACTACATCTAAGAACACACAGAAGTTAATAATAACCAGCAAAGTCAAAAGGAGGGTAAATACCACCACCACCATAATAGGAATCAACAATCATTGGTCATTGCTATCACTTAATACAATGGTCTCATTTCCCCTCATGCCCTACATTTCCTGTTTATTGTTTTTTGTTTGTTTTGTGTTTTTAACTCAGATCTTGCAGGGCATTGGTGGCACATGCCTTTAATCCCAGCACTCAAGAGGCAGGTGGATCTCTGTGAGTTCGAGCCCAGCCTGGTCTACAGAGCAAGTTCCAGGACAGGCTCCAAAGCAATACAGAGAAACCCTGTCTTGAAAAGACATGCGCCACAGTCAAAAATGACTGTCCCTCTTCCTAGCCCCATTCCTAGATGAGATCATATTTCTATGGCTATGGCTTCTGGTTATGAGTTGCTCAAATCAAACACTTAGCTGCTTTTCTACCCAGCTGAGGGTTGTCTAGCACTTGGAGTTACCACTTAAGTGCTTGGTTAAGAAAGCCTCCAAGGCAAGTTGCTACTGAAACTCCCTAGGGCCACCTGCTAGACTGTGCTGTGTCCTAGTAACTCTTAAGAGAGAATAAAAAACAATTGCAGGTTCTTTGTTTATCACTTTTAAGTTGCTCAGAGCAAGTCTGTTTGCAGGAAACTGACAGTTTTACCTTCCTCTCAATGCCTAAACAGTATTAGAAAGTGCTGCTGGATTGTATCTTTTAGTAGCCCATAAAAATCTAGAGGTACTAGATTGTTTTAAAGATACTAAATGAGGCTAGAGAGGTTGATGACTCATCTAACCACTGTTGCAGAAGACTCAAGTTCATTTCCTAGCACCAACATGGTGGTTCACAACCATCTGTAATACCAGGGCATACCAGGCCTTCTCCACTCC